TACAGCATACACTCCGGAACAGAATGGTATGGCGGAGCGTGCAAACCGTTCAATAGTTGAACGCGCTCGATGCCTACTGTACGAAGCAGGACTGGCGAAGACGTTCCGGGCTGAGGCCGTACATACTTCCGTCTACCTGCTGAACCGATCCCCAACTCAAGGTCACAACTCTACTCCTGAGCAAGTCTGGTCCGGGAAGAAACCCAATTTGTCACATCTTCGGATTTTCGGTACCAAGCCAATGGTACAAATACCCAAGGAATGGCGACGCAAGCTCGACCCCAAGTCTTGGGAATCCATTTTTGTTGGGTACGACGACTACATGAAAGGATACCGGCTCTACGCTCCGCAGTCGTGTAAAGTGTTCACCAGCCGCGAAGTCTGTTTCATCGACGAAGATACACAAAGCGCACCGGATGAAAAGCAACGTCAGATCTTGGTCCCGCTAGACTTCGAGTTCGTTTCTTCATCGCCAGCTGCAAGAGGTTCGGACAACCGCTTGGTCGAAGAAACCGAGGACGACGACACTAAAGACGAGTTCTTCACGGATTACGAAAGTGGAAGCGAAGAAGAGTTCAACGGCTTTGACATTTCACAAGAAACCGTGATCGACGTGACTCCTGTGCTCCCACCGCACAAAACTTCAAATCCACCTCAGTCACAGGTGTTGAGACGTAGCGGTCGGGAGCACAAAATCCCAGGCAAGTATAATGACTTTCAAGTTACGTACAAAGGTCTGCCGCATTCTCAACGTTTACAGGAGGCTAATACGAACGTGGACAACTTGGATACACCAGTGCAGCTGACACCCTAAAGCCTGTTCGGTGGTATCGCAACCGCAGTCGACATGGCCGTAGCTGAGGGACCACTACCAAATGGCGATCCGGATACGCACCAAGAGGCACTGTCGCGGGAAGACGCAGCACTCTGGAAGCAAGCGATGCGTGAAGAGTATGCTGCGCTCATGGCAAACGACACCTGGACCTTGACCGAACTGCCTGCTGGTCGGAAGCCGATCAAATGCAAATGGGTCTTTAAGACCAAGCACGACGCAAACGGCAACGTGGACAAACACAAAGCGTGCCTAGTCGTAAAAGGCTTCTCGCAGCGAGAGGGGGTGAACTATGATGAGACCTACTCACCCGTGGTTCGTCATAGCTCCCTGCGGTACCTTTTCGCCTTGTCCGCCCGGCATGGACTGGCTATCGAGCAAATGGACGCTAAAACGGCGTTTCTCCAGGGAGAATTAAAGGAGGAGATTTACATGGAACAGCCTCCGTGTTTCCAAAACTCCCGTCAGTCAAGACTGGTTTGCCGATTGAATAAAGCTCTATACGGACTCAAACAGTCCAGTCGCGTATGGAATGCTAAACTCGATGCTGCGGTGCGAAGGTTTGGATTGACTTCGTCAAAGTACGATGCGTGTCTCTACTATCGCATCGAAGGCAACCGGATGATATTTATTGCAATCTACGTAGACGACGTGATTATCTTTTCCAACGATAAAGCGTGGACTGCCGAGATCAAGATGAAGCTGGGTGACACGTTTTGCATGAAGGACCTAGGACCAGCAAGTTCATGTCTCGGAATACGGATTACTCGTGACAACGATGCCGTAGCTCTGGATCAGGAGGCATACATCGAGGCGATGCTGTCCCGATTCAACATGCAACATGCGAAGGCAGTGTCAACTCCGATGAACTCAAGCTTGAAGCTGACCAAAGAGATGACTCCGCAAACCGCGGATGAAGCTGCAAAAATGAAAGAGGTGCCGTACCAGGAGGCTGTAGGCAGTTTGATGTATCTAGCGCAATGCACCAGACCTGATGTCCTCTTCGCCGTTAACAAACTGAGTCGCTTCAACACGAATCCAGGAGTCAAGCATTGGGAAGCGGTTAAACACCTGTTTCGGTACTTACGAGGTACGTCGAAGCTCAAGCTGCAGTACACCAAGGGTTGTAGTACTGACCTGATTGGTTACTCCGATGCCGACTGGGCTTCGGACTTGGATTACCGCAAATCGACTAGCGGCTACATCTTCATGCTGCAAGGAGGTGCGGTGTCGTAGTGTTGCAAGCGGCAACCCACAGTTTCCCTATCTACTTGTGAAGCCGAGTACATGGCTTTATCTGCCGCCGTACAGGAAGCCATGTGGTGACGTGGTTTGATGAAACAACTTGGACTGGATCAAACCATCGAGCTTTGCTGCGACAATCAAAGCACTATATGCATTGCCAAAAACGCAGGGTACACGCCACGTACCAAGCACATAGACATACGTCATCACTTCATACGAGACGCCCTCGACCAGAACATCGTTCGGCTGAAGTACGTGAGCACCGATCAACAGATTGCAGATGGCCTAACGAAGACTCTTGAACGGATCAAGCTGGAGCGAAACCGAGTTGCTATGGGGGTGGACGCATCAGCTTAAGAGGGAGTGTTGAGATAGTAGTGTAAGCTGTGCTTCATCTGTTCTTTATATCTGTAGTAGAGTAGAATTTAAGCAGCTTCGGTGTAGTTTCCGCTCACCGTGTAGAACTTTTTATTCTCTGCCTGTACTGTACTTTTCCCATTCATTCTAAAATAAACGATTTGCAATACGGACGTGTCTGCGCGTGTTCTCACTTTAATAGTTTTAGAAATAAATTAATTTGATGGAATTTTACAGAAAATAGATCTCAATAAATAAATTCATAACAATGCACACTGGAAATCAGTCCGGATCTCTAATTTAGCCATTATTTTATTGAAATTTCTTGGATTTGACTTGTGCATAATGACAATATGGCGACAGAGGACAGCAGGCAAGAAAAACACCAAGCGCAATTTCTTAAAATGTCTAATGCCACCTTTTTTTTTTTTGGTTTATTAGAGAGATTTTCCCTAATGCTTACATTGGATGGAAGCAGAACAGAAAAGCATAATGCATGATTTTATTTCGAGCACTATTTTCTTTTTACAAGAGCAATTCATTTTTTTTTATTTAAGTGTAAACGTATATTCCTATTCTACGGGTGCAACCGATGAATTTTACAAACATTTGGAAAAGTTTTGAATGGTACATTAAACTTTATGAAAAGTTATGCTTGATTTCAACTTTTTGTCCTAGAACTGTCACCATTCCATGTATTTCGACCAAGATTCGACAGTGTCACCCCATGAAAAAAAAATGAAAGAAATGGAAAGAAAATTTTCAATGCTGATTGTTGAATTGTTGTGACCATCCACGACTGTAAATCTGATAAGAGACATTTTTGGTGTAGCAATGTGTCCATTCAAAGTGAAGATGGTTCAGAATGGTGAGGAGGTACAATCTATACAGCTTTCTTTGTAACATCCGCAGAAAATGCAGCGGCATTTTTTTTCTTGGTTGGAGTTATTCACGAAGGTTTGCGGCTGACTGTAGCAAATAAACGGGCTCATGCTAAAAATTTTGTTGATTTTCTTTGCGCTCCGCTTGGAAGTACCGGAAAGTTTTGATTCTTTCTATGTTTTAAAAATAAACCGCCTATTTACACTTCTGACAAGTTGCAACTGAATGCTTATAATTGTTTTTAAATAACTGTTTCATGGCCAACTAGTTTTATTGCGCTTACTTATATAGCAATAAAAGGATTTATTTTTGGGTTTTATAAGGGCAATTCAATTTGCTTTTTTTATACTTCAAGGCAATCATAAAACCTTTCATAAGTGAAAATAGCATAAGCATCAGTTGTTTTTTTTTTATTAGCTTTATAGGGGTTTTGTAGATAGCTATGAGAATGTTCCATGACTTGCATTGTATTTGACCGTCATAAAACTACAGGTAGTTGCAATAAAACCTTTATACATTTTGAATATAGTCAAGCAGCTCTAGATTTGTTACTTGGGAAGCCAAATGTAATAAATATATAAAATTTTGTATCATCTTATAAACAGAGAATCCAAACTTTTCCTGAAAAATAAACTTTTAATATTTAAACAAGTATTTAGACCAGCCATGGAGGTTTAGAAAACGTGTGTAAAACACTGAATTGCCAAAGCAGAAACAGATGTAAACACACTTAGGTATATATATCATAACAATTAAGGCTGGTAAGTTACTGTGCCTAGTAGCTGGAGCACCTAGATTAAAATTAAATGTAATTTGAATTTGGAAAAAAAATAGCTTTTTACAGATGGGACTGACTTGCGATCAGGGGAGTAAAGTAAGCGATTAACGAGCACCACACGGTATACCTTAAGGGGGATTTCCGGTTCAATTGACCTAAACTTTGGATTTTTTTTTTCCAGGGAACTGGTAAGAGTTAGAGATCTGAGTTTTTTGTCAAATCTTTATTCATTCTTGCTGGGTATAGTTCAGAGAATGAAATGAACTAGAATCTTTGAAAAATCTCAAAATTTGACAAAATGGCGGGCATTTGAAAAAAAGTCATTTACCTAGTTACCGCCATTTTGTCAAATTTTGAGATTTTTCAAGGATTCTAGTTCATTCCATTCTCTAAACTATACTCTTCAAGAAACTGAGCCGATTTTCTTTCTAGGTGACGATTTGCGACCTCTAGGCTGCTCGCAGTTTTGGGAAGTACCCGCCGGGCAGCCGCCATATTGGACGCCATTTTGGATTTTTGGACTTGAAAAAATTCCCAGTTGTAGAGCAAGAATGAATAAAGATTTGACAAAAAACTCAGGTCTCTAACTCTTACCAGCTCCCTGGAAAAAAAATTCAAAGTTTAGGTCAATTGAACCGGAAATCCCCCTTAAGCATTCATCTTGAAGATTAACGAGAAAGATTTGAAATTACGCTTATGTGAAATTATTGAAAGATAAAAGTCAGATGCTCAGTGGGGCTGACAAAATCGGGTCCTTACTGTACACAGATAATTGACGAAAGGAAAGGTCTAACTTCAGCTCTATAAATCCAATCCATTGGATAACCTTTTGTCCTTGTTGCTTGCTAATAAATTTCCATAATCTTTTCTAACTCCTCTAATCTCTCATTCTATTTTACTCCACAGCACATCTACGAGCAAATTTTCAAATCCACATGAAGTTATAGAACCCCTCAGCAAATTAGCTCCCAAGCGATCCTCACCGTGGCATCCGAATTGAGTGACGCATCATCATGGTACTAAATCCAAAAATCCTAAAGGGTAAGTTCGATCAACTTCTAACGGCAACGGTCACATAAAGCGTTTCATATTCTACATTCGTCTTTATTAAAACTTAACGATTATCAACTCAGTACCTACACTTCTAAAAATCTACGGCACACTCCCAATACAAACACCAACCAACAATACAGTCAGCTAGAGGTTCGTGTTGGCAAAAAAAAAAAGTTCAATTCCAAGGGCCCCTGTACGAGTAACTTACACACTATATGGACTATCGATACGGCTGCAGCACGATCGGACAATAACGAAAACAAAATACGATGACGGTCAATCACTGGCGATCATTATCCCATGTGGCATGTTTGGTGAGTAGGTAATAGACGACAGCAGATAGCAATAGTAGGAAGGTTATTAAAAGTGAGAATTACGGAAAAGGAAGCAAGCCACCACCAATGGCACGATTACGACGGCGGATCAGTTCTGTTTTTCAGGCACGCACTTCTGATTGTCCGGATCGTACATGTATCCATTGGCGCAGCAAAATCGATTCTCGTCACTCATGGGCCTGTAATCCAGAAAGATATGCGGTTAACATTCAAACTCCATTCCGATAATAGAATGCCACTTACAATCCTTGACGGCAGAGAAAGTAGTGCCGCGGATCACGTGGATCCGGTATAATGCCATCGTATGGACACATCTGATAGCCTAGCTGGTTGTCCACCGATTGCGACTCAAGATGTCGGTTCACTCGCGCGAGATTCTGCATGTTGGCAAACATTTCCATAAACGCAGCCTGAGGGCACGGAGTCGTTTGGGCCATTCCGGAAGGCATCATGTTCATATAATCATGCTGAGGAATGTGTCCTCCACAAGGAAAGCATCCACATCTTCCTGGAAGACCGTTGCAGGGCCTACAGTTGGAATTGCAATTTGAGGGACAATTTGAATTACAGTTTGAATTACAGTTTGGATTACACGGACGATTTCCGGTCGAGCAGGTAGCTATGATCCCCAATCGTGATCGTGCCGGGTCATACTGTGCTTCTGGAGGAGGTGGCTTGACCACCACCGGTGGTTTCGGTTCGGTAAACAGTGGATTGCAGCTCCCGGCATAGGAACTGCTGCTCTCGGAAAATAAGAGCCTTTCATCAGCGTGCTCGGAAGGATTCGTCAACTTGGCCAGCGCATGATCCGAATCAACGAGAAAGATCGAAGGCGTGCAATTATCACAACCATAACTACGGTCTTTAGAATACAAAAGTTTCGACCCGGAAGAGTCCTTTCGCATTTCGGTATAACCCGAAGCGGCAGTTGTTGCCGGCGGTGAACATCTCGAACAGAGCGGTTCCGACAGAGTTGGAATTTGTCGAAGCACAAACGAAGACTTGCTGTTGTACGAATCATCACCCTCTGGTGGAAGCTCTTCATCGCTTGGCTCATCCGGGTCTGGCACTTGGGTATCGGCCAGGGTAGAATGTGCGCTACCAGCGTCTACCATATGCAAATCGACAACGTCTTCATACGAATCAACATCTCCGTTGTGGATGCTTCGTTGAGCAATCGCCGAAGGTCTCTGGTCAATCGGAAGTTCCAATCCCTTAAGGGAAGCTAAGACCACCGCCGTTAGTGGATACTGTCCATCGCCGCATAGATTCGTTGGGTCATCTTCATCGTAATATGCTACGGCGATCCCTCCGAGGTATTGGTTCAGTACGTAGCCCACTTTTTCCTTGATCGATTGCTTGTTCTCATACGAGTACCAGCTCAGTTCACGGAAGGCATACGGGCAGCGGGCGTTGTTTTCAAAGATCTCCAACGAACCACTGTAAAGCTTGTGGCAGATCTTGAAAAATGGACGTATTTTCAATCGAACCACCGGTGTCCCCAGTTGGTATTCTTTCTGTTGGAATAGTTTGTACGTCAAGGATGTTGTTTGAATAATGATCACGATCTTTTCGCTAGCCAGGCCTGCCATCTTCCATGCATTGACGTGAAAGTCCTAGAAACAAAAGGATGTCAATATAATACTTCCTACTGAAAAGATTGGGACAGGGTTCTCAACTTACCACACTGTTGGAAGATCCAGCGTTTATCGCGTACAACGGCGCGATCAATGAAGTCTTCTTTAACTTTCTGAACTCGTTCGTACTCAGTATCACATAATGTGCTGACTTGGCAATCTCTTCCACCGGGTAATTTTTCCCAATGACCGCAGGATTACTCGGAACAGTCACCGTTAGAATCAGATTTTCCTGATCACAGGCTGCTCTCAGCTGCCTTACTAGCAGCGAATAACTCACCTGAAGAAAAAAAACAGGTCACAAACCCTTAGTTAAAATCATCTGGCAAACTTATTCAAACTCTCTCACGTTATCCGCTTGAGTTGGATACATCCAGGAAATGTCCAACCCGTTGAAACCGGTTTCCTTCGCAAACTGCACCAGCTGTTGCACGAACCTTAACAACCTGCCATCGTCCTCGGACAGGTGGGAAAACAGCTCCGGAGGAACAGCCGTCCCGCCAAACGATGCCAAAAACTGCACCCCGGGACGATCCCTGTGCAACCTCTTGAAGTAAGACTGATCCACTTTTCGAAACAAGGAAAAACAAACACATTAACATTCATCACTTCCAACAGTCCTTCATCAGAAACTCACATTCTCCACTGAGGAAAGGCAACGGTTGCCCCTCGGGACTTATCATCAAATCAGACACAATCAAATAGGCACTCTCGGCATCCGGTAGGTTCAACGTTGGTAAACTAGCACTTTTCACCGTCAGAAACAGTTTGGGTTCCTGAGCCATTATTTCCGCGAACGAAATGCAGAGCAAGCCCACAAGAACCGTTGGCAGTAAGCGAAACCACACGGGAAACCGCACCATTTTTACGTCACTCGTAACTTGCAACCACCCAGCTTGGAGCAGAGGTTCCCCTCGAAATCGGCCTGACTAGAGAAAACTGTGCGCGGAGGCGAAGGAAGGCTTTTATATGAATCGCTTACAATCACCGAATGGGGTTGTTCAACATGGGTTGTTTTCGGTTGTTGCACGCTCTTGAAGCTTACTTTTCTATACACAACCGTTCTCGGTGGACAATTTCACTTGGTTCGATACAGCATTGTTGGGCGTTCACCGCTATCTGTAAAGTGGGTAGGTTATTTTTTGCTGCTTGAACTGTCCAGCAGTTGCGGAAGATTTGGCGTTAGTTTTAAATAAGTCACGTGCTATATAGCAGTTGAAGGTTGCTACACTTCAACAGTAGTTCAAGGATCAATATGTTCAAGAGACAAACAAAGCTGCAGGTGTCTATGAAAAGATGCATACTGCATGTTTGGTAGAATCACAACTGAATCACAGGTTTTTACGGTACTTCGTCGTATTTTTCCATTTCTTTGTTCATAAGCGCATTGGAGTAGTTCCAGGTCAAACAGCAAAAAACATTTTTTTGATGCTACGTTCTCCGATTTGCATGAACCTCAAACAAAAATAAATACATTCAAAGTGTTTTATGTTAAGTCATACGTGAAGTTTGCGATTTTCAGAGTAAGTTGGAAATGCTATCTAACATGAAGCTTTATTGTGATAATTTATTAGCTAGAGAATGGTCTTAGAAGAGGCTAGGTAGATAGTTCCGTGAGAATACGGCAGTATGAAAATTGAATAGAAGTTGAAAATGAGCGAAGGACCATTAATACGACAGTACAAAGTCAAACGCACAACTTCTATTCAATTTTCATACTGCCGTATTCGAACGGAACTATCTACCAACCCTCTTCTAAGACCATTCTCTAGCTAATAAATGATCACACTAAAGCTTCATGTTAGATAGCATTTCCAACCAACTCTGAAAAATAAATACTTAAATATCTTCAAATTTCCTCGTTTAACGTTTATGTAAATTTTAATGCTCATAGAAAATTAAAACTTATGAAATATTTAAAGCCTTGGACCAGGGGTGAGACAGCTCCTAATCATGAACAATGAACCTATGCAAAATTTGAGCTCAATCGGACATGATTTAGGGGTGGCGCAAACGCGTCAAAGTTTGACTTTTTTCACTCTCAAAAATCTCCCATGAAATTTCGGAAATCAAAAAAAAAATTTGATGCCAAATGTCTTAAAAATGCATGAAACGTCGAGATTTAGTGTTATAGATAACTCTAAATCTCGACGTTTCAGGCATTTTTAAGACATTTGGCATCAAAATGCATGAAAAATTTTTTTTTCATAAATCGACTTTCTGGGACTTAGATTTTTTTTTCATGAGTTCTATATGGAATATAGAAGATTGATGAGTCGGCTTCTAAAACTGTTCACAATTGTCTCCAACCTGCTTATATATCGAATTAAACCACCATTTAGGATCTAATACGAAATAATTCAATTTTGGATTTGGATTTTCTGTTTATAATAGGTTACAAACATTTTAAATATTTATTACATTTGGCTTGACTGCCATAAATGTGATATTTAAAAGTTAATTTTTAGTCAAATACTAATCTAAGATATTTCACTTGACTTGACCAAGAAATTGGAACTCAGTTCATAGTGGCTATGTGACTACTACTAGATTTCACAAAGGAAGCTCTAGGCTTATGTGGAAATATTATAAGTTGAGTTTTGGAAGCGTTGGGAGAAAGCTTCCATTTTGGTAAATAAGAAGAGAAAATATCTAAACATTTCTGCAGTCTGCTGCAACTAACACGAAGACTTCTTCTTTGAGCGAAAATGCCTGTGTCATCAGCGAACAAACATTTGTGGGACCCTGAGACAAATAAGGGAGGTCTGAAGTGAAAATGTTATACAATACATGAATAAGTGGTTTTGGCCTACCGGTAATTAATGTTTACTCTCATATTCACTCCTTTTAGCCGGCGCCGGTGGTGTATTGGTAAGCGTGACTGCTTTCTAACACCCCGATAGGTCTGGGTTCAATCCCAGCCGAGGTCGGTGGGATTTTTCTGAGGCATAAAAATCTCTGGTCACGTCTTCCTTCGGAAGGGAAGTAAAGCCGTTGGTCCCGACCCATGTGTGTTGAATGGGTGCGATATCCTACGCAGGTGTGGAAGCTGCCTTCCTGCACATTCGATTGCCGTCAATGGATATGGCAATCGATGTCCGTCGGTGATTGGCACTAGATTGCGGAACAGAGACCGACGTTAAATAAAGGAAAGATATTCACTCCTTTTTTCTGTAAAATACTGAATACGAATGATGATTCGAAAATAAATATGTTATTAAATAGTTTTAACTTTTGAATAGCATTTCGAAAATTTCAGTTTAAGCTGGATTTTTTGGATCGGGTGAGTATTAAAATTTCCATACCCGACCATCTCTACTACTGAGCATGCAACCCTTTCATAAGAGCCAATGTCGCAAACGTAAACAATGACTTTTTCCGCGAAATTCTCGAGAATGGAAATTAGATTCAAATCCTTGTATCATTTTTTATGCCTCATAATTTCAAAACTGTCAAAAAGAAATTGACAGTTCTAATTTACTCTCTCAGGTATACTACTACTTTTTCGCTACCCGGATATTATTAGGTGGGCAGATTATTATACCTAACGACACCTTCCACTACCTTGACTAGATGCGAAAGGTACCTAGATGACTGGTTTAATCATATAAATAGCTGTATTTGGTTTTATTACCATCATTCTAAGCTAGTCTTCTTTCTCGTATGGAAGTGTCTTATATTGTCTCAGTTTCTCTCATAAATATTGCATGGTATATCTGTTACATTTTCATAGCTGCTATTCTGAATTTTCTATTAAATGTTTCTTGTCAAATGAAGAAAGATATGTTTGATACGTCGGGTACTCCGCAATGATCCATGAAATGTGTTCCTTTTTTTCGACGTCTTTCTTAGCCATTTTAATAAGACTTTCCAGGTATTGAAAAATAGCAACAGTTTTTGTTTATGCTTATGTCATTTACCAAATGTGTTAAGTTTTTTTTTCTTTCAAGCATCCTTTAATTCCTTTATTGTTAGGAAGGCACTAAGCTTGCAACTTTTTTTTTTCAGCACGCAAATGAAAAATATATTTACGAAAAACTTCACTATACACTATATGCCAACAAGTTAACAGAATAGCCGAACGACGGCAGATATTCTCCAACTAGCCAATTGTCAACCTATTCTCTATCAGTTCTCTGCTTGTTGTCTTCTTCAAACGCACAACTGATTGATATTACATCCTCAGATCGCATCCTTTTTTATACATAGTTAGAAAAAGTCAAGGTAGAAAAGTTTACGTAGAAATAAGTACTTGAGACCGTTGCTTGCCTGTAGGAGAACACTGTTTGTGTGTATTTTTTAACACTCCGAATACAATGCCTCCGAAAAACGTGTAACGGCAAGTTTGCAATGGCACAACTTAGCCATTTCTTAATGAATTTCAAAAATTGTGGTACCTTTAGAATTACTAGGGTTTCTAGATGATTTTAATTGCAAAAAACTCAAAAATAAAGTCGTCTGCTTTTTTAAAAAGCGAAAAGAGTTGTTACACGTTTTTTGAAAGGTGTGTTTGTAGGGTTTTGCAAGTGGCGCAAGATCTGTAATTTAGATTAATGGGCACAAATGTTCACAATTAGCCAGAATACAGTCATGGTTCCTATATATGCATCCTAGAGACGACGGAACGGTCCTCGAAAAATCCGGAACATCCGTAAAAGTGGGCAATCCATGAACCTGATCCTAGAGCTCTGCGGTTTTTTTTTTTTAACATTAGGAACTGTGATATAAACAAATATTTGGGGTCGTGACATAAACATGTACCTGGATGGCCATAAGACCGTCCTCCGGAAGATCCGGAACATCCGTAAAAGTGGACAATCCATGAAACTGATCCTAGAGCTCTTTTGTTTTTTTTAACATTAGGATCTGTGATATAAGAATGAATTTGGGTCATGGACCAAGATGGCCATCGGACCGTCCAGCGGAAGATCCGGAACATCCGTAAAAGTGGTAAATCCACGATCCTGATCCTAGAGCTCCGTGGTTTTCTTGAAAACATTAGGAACTGTGAAGATAGAAAGAATTTGTGCTTGTGACATAAACATGAACCTGGATGTCCATAAGACCGTCCTCCGAAAGATCCGGAACATCCGTAAAAGTGATCAATCCATGAAACTGATCCTAGAGCTACGCGTTTTTTTTAATATTTGGATCTGTGATATAAGAATGAATTTGTGTCATGGACCAAGATGGCCATCGGACCGTCCAGCGGAAGATCCGGAACATCCGTAAAAGTGGTAAATCCACTCTCCTGATCCTAGATCTCCGTGGTTTTCTTGAAAACGTTAGGAACTGTGATATTAGAATGATTTTGGGATCGTGACATAAACATGGATCTTGATGGCCATGAGACCGTCCTCTGGAAGATCCGGAACATCCGTGAGAGTGGAAAATTCACGAAACTGATCTAAGAGCTCCGTGGTTTTCTTGAAAACGTTAGGAAATGTGATATTAGAATGATTTTGGGATCGTGACATAAACATGGACCTTGATGGCCATGAGACCGTTCTCTGGAAGATCCAGAACATCCATGAAAGTGGAAAATTCACGAAACTGATCCTAGAGCTCCGTGTTTTTTTTTTAAACGTTAGGAACTGTGATAATAGAATGATTTTGGGATCGTGACATAAACATGGACCCAGATGGCCATCGGAACGTCCTTCGGAAGATCCGAAAAATCCGTAAAAGTGATCAATGTATGGAACTGATCCTAGAACACGGTTTTTTTTTTTCGTAAACACTTGGAACTGTCATATATAAATTAATTTGCAGTCGTGACATAAAC